TTTGCAGCAAGTATGAAGAGATTTGTGCGCCTCAGGTGGAAGAGTTTTGCTACATTACCGATAACACATATTTTAAAGACGAGGTATCTGTTTATTTCAAAGAAGTAGAAATTTGTTTTTACATTTGAACTATAATTAAGCAGTTTAAGCCTCCAACAGGTTTTGCAAATGGAATCTGCTGTTCTGAATTATCTGAAGTTTGAAATGACAGCCCCTACAACTAAATGTTTCTTGAGGTGATCATGGATTTATATGCGTCGAAAGAAGTATTTTAGTTTAAGATGTGCTCAGTGTTGACTTTCTTTTCACTTCTTTGTAGGAGATTTGTTCGTGCTGCACAAGGCATTAACGAGGTATCATCTCATTTACATTATATGTAAATAATTACTTATGATGGTAGTAATCAATTCTTATTTGCTTATTTCTGGTCATTCGTTATGTTCCAGGCTTCGTCCCTGCACTTAGAGTGCCTGGCCAACTACATTGCAGAACTGTCTCTTCTAGAGTACAATATGCTTTGTTTTTTCCCGTCCTTGGTAGCAGCTTCATCAATCTTCTTAGCCAAATATATTATTCTCCCTTCAAAGATGCCCTGGGTATGCTTTTAGAAATGTTGCTTGGTTGCTTAAATTTTCTATAATCTGTTCTTATCTCTAGTTTCTTTTATAGTAATTCGACTCCTAATGTTAACGCAGAACACAACCCTGCTACATTACACGCTTTATCAGCCTTCTGATTTACGCAACTGTGTTCTTTCATTACATGGCCTTTTCTGCAATAGCCACAACTCTAGTCTACCCGCAGTCCGGGAGAAATACAGTCAGCATAAGGTAAGCACAATTTCTTTTGTCACAATTAATGCATCTCATGTTTGAAAGAAAATGTAGGAAGACTGGTAGAAAATAGGATTTCTACATCCCGGGATACCTTGTCCTACTAGTCGAAATCCTAAGTAGCAAAAGTTCGTAATCTTTTTAAGATTGGCAGTGCATATTTCTTACTAAATCTTTTGTGCATAAGACCAGCAAAAGCTCTAGAAACTTTGCAAGTTTAAGATTTATTTGAACTAATGCGCTCATGTTGTTAATCAGTACAAGTTTGTTGCAAAGAAGTACTGCCCTCCATCAATACCCCAAGAATTCTTCGAGAACTTTAGCAGTCTTGAGGTCATGTAGCCGTCTCAATGTTCCATTGGATGGACTCACACTCACATCTTCTGCTGCAGCTCAAGTGAATGGAAGAAATATGCAGTTGCTTCATCCTTCTTGATGACGACATGTGCCATATAGGCCCGACCGGGGAATGGGATGGTGTCGGAATCTTGTTACCGTTTATGGTTCAGTTAAGTATGGACTGATTTACCTTGTATTATGCAAATTCACTTAGATTTAGACTTAACCTAGTTGTTGTGTATAGATGAGTTTTGTTCTAATTGGAATCTGTCCTTGCATTGTTTGTATACAATTTCTTGTATAAAACGACAATGCCATACCAAAATTTCGCCATGAGGTACTACAAAATCACGTGCAAAATTGCGTAGCAAGAGAACTTAAAAAACATACATGGCCCATGTTTGACGGCCATTAATAACAACTAGTAAAAAGCGTTTTTTTAGGGAAAACGAGTTTTGGAATAATGATTTTTTTTAGCATGGTTAAAAAATATGAGAAAGTTCTAGATTTATGTATATATTTTATCTTGAGAATATGCGTTTGAAAATAAGTTTTGAGAAAAAAAGTTTAAAAAATTGTCAGGGGCATAATAATGAAGGAAAAGTTTATTGGTACATAATGTTTCTACATAATGTACACATAATACTCACATGGGGTGGGACCCATGTGTGGATCCCACCTCACATGGGTCTCACCTCCATTTGAGTATTATGTTAACCCCTATGTTATGCTCTATGTACCCCAAGCAGGATCCAATAATGAACACTGAACAAGAGACTTGAACAACAAATTACGTGCAAGAAAGCAACAATAAAATATGAGTGAGGAAAAAAAGTTTAAAAAAATGTCAAACATGGGTATAATAATGAACACTGAACAAGAGACTTGAACAACAAACCTGCATGAAAGAAACAATAAAATATCTTGGCTATAAATCCTAAGATTAAATTCTTGCCTCTTTAGCCTTCAACCCTCTTTTTAGAATTGAGGTCACGATGGTTCATATTTCTAATTAATTAATTCCACACAATAATTTTTTTACTGAAAATTGCCCTTTTCGGATCTTTCTATCCACACCACCGTCATTCATGGAATGGTGTTTGCTCTAATAACACTTCTAACAACCACTTCGACTAAATCGACTTGTAGGCGGGATGCCCAACTAATTATAAAATCATAAACTACACTTTCACTTAGTGGTGTAAAATACAATTAGAATCGTTATATTTCTTTTTCTCTTTCATTTCTACGCTAGGTGAACGTAACAGGCTCACTCAAGGACTATGGAATCTCGACCGGGTGAAACCCAAACAAAGTACGAGAGAGATATTAGATGCGACCCGATCAATGGTCCGAACCAATGTTTTGGTTTCGAAGTTTGACCATTGGTGGCATTCAATAGCCGTTATGGTCTTTTAGTGGTCCCCACATATATAGTTGACCGTTTTCTGATCGTCCTATGTGGGAATAACAAAATTAGTGTATTTTTCCCTTTTGACAGCTTTCTAATGAAAATGAAGTCCTAACTTTCCACATTTGGAGTTTTCAATTTAAAAGTAAATATTTCCCTGTCCCATTTATACAGAGCGATTTTCATTATTTTCTTATCCTAATCATATAGTCCTATTTATTTATTAAGAATATTTTGTCTTGTTCGTTTAATAATATATCCTTATTCAATTTGCCTAATTATAACCAATTTTTTCAACGTATTCTTTTAGTTTAAATTATTTCAAAAGTTCAAGTTATGGTTCCCAAAAAAATCTGAACAAAATAATTTATGAATGTGAGAATTGAAAAATGGGTAATTGACACAAAACGTCCCTACCTTTGACATGTATTGTGGAAATCGTCTTTACATTTTATTTCTTGACGTTTATGCCCCTACCTTCAACATTTTGTGCGCCGAAAGTCCTTTTCACCATGTTTTGACGATTTTACCCTCCTAATCAAATATAACAAAAACAAAAGAAAAGAAAAATAGAGAACACATTGCAATTATGTGTCCAACCTTTTTAAAAGGTGCAAACGAGTCCAAATTTGAAAAAACCATCACCCCTAAGCTGCCACCTTTGAAGCCAAAAATCCCCA